AGGGGAGCATGGCGGTGCCGGTCTGAGGGAACGGGCCGGGGCGCCTGCGAACCTGAGCCCTTCGCCTGCCCCTTCGAAACTCAGCGCAGGTGCTGCTCTCAAAAGCCGCGGGAAGGGCACCCGCTGCCGGCCTGGGGGCGGCAGGAGGTGTGCGGGGCACAGAAGGAAGGGCAGGGTGAACACCATCCTCTGGGGTCCCCAGCACAGGAGGGACATGGACCTGTTGGAGCAAGTCCAGAGGAAGCCACGGAGTAAATTGGAGGGATGCAGCACCACTCCTATGACAAAAGGCTGAGAAAATTTGGATTGTTCAGCCTGCCAGAGAGACGGCTTAGGGGTGACCTAATTGCAGCATTCCAGTGTCTGAAGGAGCCTGCAAGAAAGATGAAAAGGGGCATTATACAAGAGCATGGAGTGACAGGAAAAGGGGAATGGATTAAAACTGCAAGAGGGCAGGTTTAGATTAAACATTACAGAGAAATTCTTTACTGTGAGAGTGGTGAGGCGCTGGAACAGGTTTCCCAGAGACATGGATGCCCCATGCCTGGAAGTGTTTAAGGCCAGATTGGGTGAAGCTCTGAGCAACCTGGTCTAGTGGGTGATGTCCCTGTCCATGACGGTGAAACTGGATGATCTTTAAGGTCTCTTAAAGAATTCTGTGATTCTGCCATTTGACCACCGTTGTGACCCCTCTGCAGGAGTAGGGCAGCAGTGAGTGGCACACCACAACTGCTCCTGGCAGATCTTCCCCGCTAAGGGGAGATTGATCTCCCACATGGAGCCCTCTTCATCCTCCCTCCACGCCGAGAACTGGGCTGCAGATGCCTTTCAGGACTTGCAATAACAACATATCAAGGAATGGGGCCAGAAGGGAAGCAAAAGTGCAGACAGGGAATTTCCTGATGGCTATCGGTGTGAGATCCAATCCTTCATGTCACAGTCGCGTTCCCACTTGACCTTCGTGGCGTCTGAGTCGTTTTCTTTTTTCCGCTTAAAAACACACCTTGAGGAAATGGCCTCAAGTGGCACTGGGGGACATTTAGATTAGACATTCGGGAAAAATAAATAAATCACAGAAAAGATTGTAAAACATTGGAATAGACTGTGCAGAGAACTGGTGAAGTCACCATCCCTGGAAATGTTTGAAAAACATGGATATGGCAGTTGAAGACATGGTTTGATGGTGCTGGGTTAGTAGTTGATCTTGATCTTGGAGGCCTTTTCCAACCTTAATGATTCTGATTCTATGATTCTAACCTTTGCCACTCAAAACTCTGTATTCAGAATAATAAACAGGAAGAGAAGAATCAAGTTGTGAGTTTAACAAAGCACAGAGCCCCTGCTGACTGAAAATCAGCAAACTTTATTCATTACAACTCATTTCACTAGGAAAACAAATCTATGTTTGGTTGTGCCGAGTCACCAGGTTAGTCCCACAGTCTCTGACTGATTTGCATTCTGTCTTGCTCTCAGATTTCTTGGTTTGAAATTTGTCTCCTTGTCTGCAGCGTTCCAAAGAGAAGAGGACATTCAGCTTTCATGGAGAAATGAACTGAGGGAGCAGGTTATTGTATCTGATCTGAGACCTTTTATTTTACAGTGCTGCTTAGAAACTGTTTTTTCCTAAAGTGGTGAGATTCCTGAGTTTGGAGGGATTTGTGGTTGTTTTGTTCAGTGTTGGTAGGTTGTGGGGCAAGGTTAGCTGTTGGTTGTTGTGGGGCAAGGTTAGCTGTTGGTTGTCTTTTAGAGGCCGAGGTTAACAGGAAATCCTTTAAAAATAAGTTATACAGAGCCAAATTCTGCTCTTGTTTATGCCTTGGCAACTCAGCTTCCACACAAGGGTAAAAAACAAGGCAGAGTTTGGTCATAGTCTTAAACTTTCTTCTTTGCATGTGTTTGGAAATAGGCTTGAAACATGCCTCTGCTTAGCTGTACATTACTGATCCTGGGCCTTGGGAGAAACACAAAGGGAACGAGATAATTCCTACAGGAAAGACCCAGCCCCACACCCACCTCTCAGCCCCAGGACTTCTCTCTCTCAGGGAAAAGGTGTGAAAAGAAAATGGGAAATTTATTTTGTGCTGTTCCTCCCTAGATAGTCGCTGATGTCCATGTGTGGGGAGGAGGCTCCATGGCCCTCCACAGGTACAAAGGCAGCTTCTCGGTTGTAGTTGTTCTTCCACATATTATAGCAAATGAGGCTATTTTATGTTCAGTGTATAGAGAGAACCAAAATCAAGCCTTTTAAGTAAAACAGGAAGGTGCAGCGTATTGAATTAAATCATGGGGTTTGGCCAGGAGTATATTTAGAAATCACACTGGTCTCCAGAAGGTGCTACAGGGCATATTTATGACAAATAGCCTCAGCTGGCAGCCGGCCACCCATTTTCTTTTCTCTCCAGAGGTTTTCATAAACAAGAACTCTGAAGCTGGAAGTATTCCCACATCGTTCTGGTTTCTGCATTTCTTTTGAGTTTATGGTTGATGAGTTCAGGTGATGATGTTCACTGGCAGTTTATGGATTCCTTTACAGGATTGGCTATGACTCGTTCGTGAACATGCATGTATTGAAAAACTTACCTGAGCATTTTTTTTAATACAGCTTTTCCACCTTGGAAGCCAATAAATGGCTGATTTGCTTTCACTGTGCCAAGCTGGATCTAGCAAGGCGAAGGACAACAGTCTTTGTTTTTTTCAAAATGTTCTGTCAGTAGCTCTGTAATCACCATTTCTATTCAGTGCTGCTTCATCCCAGATCAGCAAGCTTTAAAACACACAGGTTTTTGTTGACAGAATGTTAAAATGCACTCCTCTGCATTTTCAGATGGATTTAAAGGCACACTTGATGCTGAAGTTAAAATATGGAAAAGACCTAAAGCGCTATATTTCAATGATTTTATCTGTTGACAAGCATACTCTCTTTTTTCTTTTTTTTTATTTGTAATGCTTTTTCCAAACCAGTTACACAACACGATTCTGGCCTCAAGCAGCTTTTGTAGCTACCAAACATCAGTTCATAGAATCACAGAATCATAGAATAGTTCAGGTTGGAAGGGACACCTTGAAGATCATCCAGTTCCAACCCCCTGCCATGGGCAGGGACGCTTTTCATCAGACCAGGCTGCTCAGAGCTCCATCCAGCCTGGCCTCGAGCACTTGAACAGCTGATTCTGTGCGTGCCTCAGCCTCTGCTGGTGCCTGGGGAGGTGGTGTGGTCCTTGGGCAGCCTAAACCAGCTCTTCCAGAACATTCCGGGAGGCAGAAGTGCCCTACATGTGTCATTCCACCACGCAGTGGCTGCACTGAGCTTTCAATTTGGGATATCCCATGGGATAGATAGTTCAGGCTGGAAGGCATCACCTGGCCCAACCTGCAGCTCAATACAGAGTCAGAGTAGGATGCTCAATGCTTTTCCCAGCCAAGCTTCATCCCCCAAGGATGAAGATCCCACCATGTCTCTGGGCACCTGCTTTAGTGCTGAACACTCTCCATTTGAACAATGTTTTTCCTTGTCAGAGTTTTTTTAATGCAAAATTTTCCTTTGCTGCTCATTGTGATTGTTGCCTCTGGTCTTTTGCTGTGCACCTCTGTCAAGAGTCTTCCTCCATCTTCCCTGGAATTTCTCCCCCTTAGGAACCTGAAACTTAGGGCTCCCAATGCCCCTCCTCTCCAGGCTGAACAAACCTCCTGCATCTCTCTGTACAGCAGGCTGCTGAGAGGAAAGCTTGAATTGTTGACAGATACATAAGTCTTGCCTCTTCTACTGAAATAGGTTGGTGCCAAGCTAGTGGCAAGGAAAGGATTGCGTGCCAGGCTATGTCTTGGCAAGCTGACACATACTCGCTTGCCATGGTTACTGCTCAGCTGTGTAAGCACATTTGGTGTTGGCAAAAAGCCTTTCCTGAGCCATGTTAAAAGGTACAGCACACACAGAGCCCAAGGAATTACTTTGACAAGTCCCCTGATTTTGGTACATTTATCCAGCCCTGGCCCTCAGGAAATCTGGCACCATATACTGTTTTATCACAGCTGCCTTGGGCTTACAGGAAGGCTTTAGTGTAGTACTCATGGATGTTCCTGTCTTTACTAAACAAAACTAAGCCTAGGCTAGGATTACTTTCGGTTGTCAGCCTGAAAAGCCATTTTCTATACAAAACAGCAAACTGCCACTTTTTTTTTCAGCATTGTGTGGCACAGCCGCTCTTTAAATGTAAAACTGCACAGTCAGTGAGTTACTGAGCAGCAGGAGAGATGGGACTTCCCCCCTCCAGTAAGTAGATTTGATGCCCACACAGACCTAGAGAGCAGAGATCCCCCAAATCTCTCCTCTCCTGCAGGAGGAGGAATCTGCACCTCACTGTGTTTCAGCACTGAGAGATTGTGGGTGTCGGTCTCTGTTGCGCTGAGTGGTTTAAAACAGAAGCCCAGCAATATTCTGCTTGATACAACCCTCTCCCACATGCCTTGCAAGCACCTCAAAACTGTCAGAGCTCCACCAACCTGAACCAAATGCTCCAGGAGCTGCCTTATTTAAGCACAAATGCTGCCCCAGAGTGCCCCAGGATGCTGGGGATGGAGAAGAGGGGTCCACGTCACCACACTGTCACCACAGCTTAATACATGGCCTTGGCTAAGGTGGGAGAGATGGGTGAGGGAGTCGATAAAGTCCTTTTTACCCCATGGCAAATCCACATCCATGTTAATGTTGTCAGTGCAGTGCAGTGTTCACATTCCTAATTACTGCCCTTCTGGTCGAGGAGTCATATATTACCCAAGTTAGCAGTTCTGCCAAGAAATAACAAGGATACCATGCATTTCAGCAGTGCTTTTCATCAGATCATTCCTACTTACTTTACAAACAGAATTAAGGAAGCCTCACAACATCCCTGTGAGGTAGGTGGAAATCCTTACACCCATTTTACAGGTGGAGAAAACAGGCACTGAGAGGTAAAGCGATTATCACAGCAAGTCAGAAGCAGAGCTGGAAATAAATCTAAGATTATTATCCTAGGTCCACTGCTCTAGACACTAGAGAACACCAACCCCACATGCTATTGTAAGCTAAGGGACTACCTTGCTCTTCTACTTTCACCTCCTTTGGTGATTTTGACACTTGTATCTTATGCTCCTTGCAGAGAGCCATGTGATCAGTCAGGAATTTATTTGCACGGGGAGCCAAGGGGGTAAACACACCTTTAAATGATCCAGGCATGGCTCTAATTGTCCAGTGATTTCCCCCTTCCCAAGGAAATAATATTCCCCATTCATCATATATATATCTATGTTTTGCTAAGTTATTTTTGGAGTAGAATCCACAGCTCTGAGGCTGTTATGCAACTTCACTAGGAATTCCTCGAGTAATCAATTAAGTTGTCTCACTGAGAGGGAATAAAGCACATTTATGTGCTCTCACATCCAGAAATAGCAATAATCCTTTGCTCATCTGTAGGACCCAAGGACCTCCCTTTCCACAACTAGCACAACACATCAGGCCTCACATCATCATTGTAAGGTAGAGAATGATTCCCAATTGCACAAGAAGGAAGAATGAGTTGGTGACAGTCCCACAGCGATTTCCTTGCAGAGGTGAGGCTGAGTGCCAGACGACCGGACTGTTCCCTGCCCTGCTTGCCGAGCAGCACTGTCCTGATGCCGTGGCCTGTGCTTGGTGGCTATGGGTTCACTGCCAGCCAGACAGAGTACTTGAAAACTGGCTTAAAAAATATCAAGAAGCAGTTGAGTGGATGCAGGAGGAAAATGCCAGCTTCTCCTTGTGCTGTTGGGACCCGCAGGAAGAAAGGAGCATTCCTGTGGCAGCTGTGAGAGAACTACAGTGTCCATGGAGTACACTGCATGTGGTGCATTTTACTGAGGCTCTCCAGTGGAAAAGGACATAATTAACATGTGGTGATTAGAGACTGCCCTGCCTGACAGCCACGTGGTGAACCACATACTCCTGATGAACAAGCACTCATCTTTAAGTAGTCCTGTAGTCTAATGAATGTATGAATGTCAGAGATCAGGAGTGGAATTGTCAAATAATTAGAAGCCAAGAGGGGGTGGGTGTGATTCAAGCAGTCCTGTACTTTGTTATCTGGAAGGGTCAGAGGCTCTGATGCAAATACCTCATCCTAAACTCTTACAAGGTAGTGGTTTTTACCTGCAGGAAAGTATGTTTCCAACCCCCTTCAACGAGTGGGCTGGTTGAGGCTTAGAATCATTCAAACTCTCTTACCACTTTCTATGGAGAAATAAAAAAGATCCCATCTACTGTAAGTGTGGTGATTGTGTTGTTCATCTAAATCTTAGCTCTTTCTTTAGTTCTAGTATCTTGAACTGGGCACAGTGGACTCTTCCTGCTGAAAAACATTCTCTTTCCTCAGTTGTGATAACAGTTCTCCTGTTTCTGTATTAAAGGAGTGGATAAATGGTAGCCTCCAGGCTCTCTCTCTGCATGTATTGCTTTGTCATATTCCTTCCCAAAACTGAGGAGGGACCTTCCAGTCTTCCTTCACAAGGAAGGACACCCAACAGCCTTTGTCTAAGAAATAAAGGTTTTGACCTCAGGCTGCAAATCTTGGGAAAATACAGAGGCCCAAGAGAAGCAAAAGGATGAATAGTGTAAAAAAAAAAAACAACCAACCAAAAAAACCCCCAATATGTGGCACCTCTGTGGCGCTGAAGAATCCCAATGCACCCTACAAACTTTCTACATATGTACAGCTTATCATCACTGGGCAGTGAAGTCCGGCCACCTTCGTGGCAGCGTGGCCAGGGGTGGGATCAGGAGCGACAGGACTGCCTGTACTGGGGCTGGGACAGGGCCCAAGCCTACGCCTGTCCTACCCTGGGACAGGGCTCTGCAGACACCCGTTTGCCTTCTCTGGGCTTTGAGTCAGACCCGCTACAATGGGAGGCCGCAGGGGGTCTTTTCTAGCTAACGGCGGGATGAGTTTGATGCATTGTGCCAAAGACCTTTTTTTCCCTGACCTGGATTAGAGCCTGCCCTGGGAACAATGGGATGGGCTGCAGCCCAGCAGAAAGAATTTGCTGAGATGGCAGGGTCTGAGGTTTGCAGAGCAGAGCAGAGCAGAGTGCATACCTGCACTTTTTTGGCATGAGGCTCAGTTTTGGGGGGACATAGCTGTTAACCTGAAGCTTTTGAACGCATTGCTGCACTGTCCC